CATTTTTGTCAACAAATGCACAGTAACCACATGTATTGCACGCAGTTGTGGGGCATTTGCAGAGCTTCCCCATTGACTTGAATGTGCAGCATTCGGCGGGCGGGTGGAATCGCTACAAGTCGGGTCTACTTTGCAGCAAGAGCAAAGCAAAACAATACAGCCACAGCATGTAAAACACCCTATCCACTGTCTATTGCACCTTAAGGGGGGGATGGTTGGCTGGTGTCACAAACACAGTTCAGCAGCACATTTTTTCCACCCCCCGCCCAACCACAGGTCCAAACAAGGACTTCATTCACACAGGGAATACTACAGTGAGGCTATGTGATGCCATGTTTACCTGCACAGGGATACACAGGTTTTTCATACATCCCCATGCAGACAGTCTCATCCATGTCAATTGGGACACAGCAGCTGCATGGGAATGCACAGGTGTTCCATGCATTCCTGTGCAGGCAGTCCCATTCATGTCAATTGGGATGTAGCGGCTGCATGGACACAGTCGCTGCCCCCAATTTAACATACATGCGTACATGGGTGCATGTCCTTGAACTCACACTGTCTGCATATGGGGCCATGCACCTACACCCACACAGTTGTCAGATCTGTCCTTGCAGCCGCTGCATCTCAATTGCCATGAATGAGACACCTGTGTGGATAAACATGGCCCTCCATACAGCCCTGCATGGGCATACACTTTGGAACACCCCATGTGAACAAGGCCTTAATAGGAATTTAGCAGGAATTTAGAATTTTTGTTGTGTTTATGTGTGCTAATAAGAATTTTAGTGTTTTTTTTTAACCACTAGGGGACCACCACCCACAGTACATATATTGCGCGATCCTTGTTTACATGCTAGGGGGCGCAGGCACCGATCACGGCCGCGGGTGTCAATCACCAGGTCCCGGCCGGTGATTACCCGCCGGATCCCGGCGATTGCTGGCAAACAATTTGTTTTCAGTGCAGCTCTGCTCCCTGTCAGTTCCCAGCTCACTGTTCCAGAGAGCAGAGCTTAGATTTCCGGGACAGTGTGCAACAGTGAAGTACACCTCTGCCCGCCCACTCACCCACTAGTAAAATATTCCCCTCACACAATTAACCCTTTGATTGCCTAAGAAAGTTAACCCCTTCCTCCCCAGTGCCATTATTACAGTGTCAGTGTTTTTTTTTTTGCACTGATCACTGTATTGGTGTCACTGGGGATGTCGGTGACCCCAAGTCAGTTCCCCCCCAGTGTCAGAATGTCCACCGCAGTACCGCCATAAGTCGCTGATCACCGCCATAAGTCACTGATTGCCGCTATAAGTCGCTGATCGCCGCTATTATTAGTATACAAAAAAAAATCCAGTATCTATACCGCCATTTGTAAACGCTATAACTTTCACGTAAACCAAGTCATTTACATGTATTGGGATTTTTTTTTAGCAAAGACATGAATACATTTTGCTGAAATTTATGATGAAATTAGATTTTTTATTTTTTTTACTGGACATGTTTTTATAGCAAAAAGTCCAAAATATTGTTTTTTTTTTTTCCTTAAAATTGTTGGTTTTTTTATATAGCGTGAAAAATAAAAAACACACAGGTGGTTAAATACCACCGAAAGAAAGCTCAATTTGTGGGAAAAAAGATGTAAATTTAATTTTGGTGCAGTGTTGCATGACTGCGCAATTGTCAGTTAAAGTAACGCAGCACCGTAACACAAACCGCTTATGTAACCGCTTCCTGACCGCCCTATAGCAGAAATACTGCTACAGGGTGGCACAGGTGCGCAAAAACACATATATATACGTGATTGGCGCTCCCGTGGTTTTACGCCCCTCCCAGATAGTGCGTTAGTACACCAGTAATCACATTTAACCCCTCCATTGCCAGGAAGAAGCTCATACATAATAAACCTCCATTGTTAGTATAGTGTCTGAACGGATCAATATCTTTGATCAGATCAGCACTATACCAGCGTTCGCATTAGTATAGCATCCCCAAAAACACAGCGTTAGCAGGATCAGCCCCGACACCTGCCAACACCTGCATTTTGCCCCTACGCTTACCCCCCCCTTCTCCCCCAGCAAGTGCAGTATCAGTAGGTCACTGTCACTTGATACATTGCACACAAAACCGCAGTGTTCGCAAAATCAGGCCTGATTTACTTGCCGGTAAATTTTGATGACTCTCATATGCAGCAGAGTGCCAGTACTAGTGCCACGCTACCTTTTGGTGAACTGGCAACACCAGCGGTCTACTACATCCTGGTCTTTCACATACCTCTTAGATTGTAAGCTCCCAGAATCAGACCCTCCTAACCCTCTTGTATTGAACTGTATTGTTGCTGTATTGTCTCCCATTATATTGTAAAGTGCTGAGCAAACTGTTGGCGCTATATAAATCCTGTATAATAATAATAATAATAATACCAGCACTGCAGTATGACGTGGTGAGTCCCATAAGTGTAGAACAAGCTGGTGCGGTGGCGAACTTAACCTTAACCAAAAATTTGCAGATGTCCATACTCCCCAGCAAAAAAATCTGCATTGATGAGTCCCTGATTAATTTTTTTGGCCACCTTGCATTCAAACAATTTCTCCCCAGCAAGTGTGCCAGATATGGGGTCAAAATGTAGAAGACCTGTGAGAGGACAACAGGCTATACTTATAAGTTTCGGATTTATGAGGGAAAAGATAGTCACGTGGAGCCCCCCAGATGCCCAGACTAAATGGGGAGTAGTGGCAAGATAGTTTGGGACTTGGTGTCATCCTTCTCCATATGGGGTACTACTTATACGTGGACAATTTTTATTCAAGCGTGCCACTATTTAAACATTTGTACAATCTTGGAACTGGCACATGTGGCAAAGTGTGACCTAATGTGTGCCCACCATTAGAAGTGGATGGATGCAGGGCAGTATATTCCAATGGTGGGCATACCACACACTTTTTCTGGCAGATATTTCTTCTCTTTTTTTCATTCAGTCCACAGGCTGCATATAAAAAAAAAAAAGAACATAGCATATACAGTAATACCTCAGTTTACGAATGCCTCTGTTAACTTAATTTTCGGTTTACGAATGAAGATCCATTGAAAATAATGCCTCGGTTTTCAAATTTTTTACAAATTTTTTTTCACAATACTAAGTGTATGTCAGTGCTGATTTTTAAATGCAATTACCATCTTTTTTTTTTTTTTCAGTATAGCTCACAACATTAGCTGGCAGTTTCCCAGAGCTAAAGGATACTTTGTATATTTTAAGAAACTGAAAGGATACATTGTATCTTTTAAGAAACTGAAAGTAAACATTGTATCTTTTAACTTGGGGAAATAAACTAAAAGAAAGAAACTCTCTCTTTCAGCTGGAGGGGGAAAGTAACGGCTGAATTTCTGAACTACTGTATAGTGAAGGGAAAAAAAAAAAAAAACACCAGTAATTATATTTAAAAACTGGAACCTGACAGCTGAGTGAATTGCTTGTATTTAAATTTTTTTTTTTTTTTTATTACCAGCAATTCTTTTTCATTCATCTGTCAGTGGGGAACCCCGCTGACAGCTGAAATATTAACACATGGTTGTCACTACTAAAATACTGCATGAGTTAATAAAATAACTCATGCGGTATTTTAGTAGCGTTTACTGATTTTCTGACCTTCTGAACAGATTAATTGGTTTTCAATGCATTCCTATGGGAAACAGTGTTTCGGTTTACGAATTTTTTCGCTATATGAAATGTCTTGCAGAACGAAATTAAATTTGTAAACCGAGTTTTGGTACATCACTGGACTTTGAATGGTTATACCAGGATGATGCCTACAGCTGCAGGCATCATCCTCACTAGGCTCCCAAAAAAAGTCTCACACATGTGGTATCCCCATACTCGGTAGAAGTAGCAGAATGTATTTTGGGGTGTAATTCCACAATATACCATGGCTTATGTGAGAAATATATAATTTAAATGAAAACTTTGAAAGCCTGAAGGTGCATAACTTCCTAAAAAAAAAAAAAAAAAAAAAAAAACATTTTTTTTGTCATTTTCCAGAAACTTGTGGTAAAAAAAATATAAATCTTCCATGGACTCAATATGCTTCTCAAGCAGATAGCTTAGGGTGTCTACTTTCCAAAAAGGGGTAATTTGGGGGTGTTTGTACTTTCCTGGTATTTTTAGTACCTCAAAAAATGTGATGAGCAGTGAGAAAGTAAAAGCTGTGTAAATTCCATTATCTATACCATAGTTTGTAGACGCTATAACTTTTACACAAAGCAATCAATATATACTTTTTGGGATTTTTTTAACCAAAAATATGTAGCAGAATACATTTTGGCCTAAATTTATGATGAAATTTTAGTTTTTTTGGATATTTTTTTATGACAGAAATGAGAAAATATTGTTTTTTCAAATAAAATTTATTTCTCAAAATTTTTTTGTTTATAGCGCAAAAAATAAAAAGCGCACAGGTAATAAAATACCACCAAAAGAAAGCTCTATTTGTGTGAAAAAAAAGGACATACATTTCATTTATGTACCGTATTTCATGACCGTTGCAATTGTCAGTTAAACTAGTGCAGTGCTGTATAGCAAAAATAATGGCGTAAATTGCAGTATCTATAGCTTGTAGACGCTAATAACTTTCACACAAAGCAATCAATATACACTTATTGGAATTTTTTTTTACCAAAAACATGGAGCAGAATACATTTTGGCCTAAATTTATAACTATCTTTGAGTTTACTATATATTTTTTTATAGCCGAAAGTAAAAAATATTGTTTTTTTCTTCAAAAATGTTTGGTCTTTTTTTGTTTATAGCGCGAAAAGTAAAAAGTGCACAGGTGATCAAATACCACCGAAAGAAAGCTCTATTTATGTGAAAAAAAGGACGTAAATTTTGTTTGGGTACAGCATTGCATGACCGGCAAAATTATAGTTGAATTAGTGCAGTGCCGAGTAGCAAAAAGAGGCCATTGGTCATTAACCTCCTTAGCGGTTTTCCCGAGTGTAGCTCGGGGTAGAATTTCTATACCACAAGCTCGGTAACCCCGAGCTACACTCGGGCTTACCATGCGGCGCTGCTAAATTCCTGGGGGTCCCTGTAGCACTTACCTTGTCCTTCGTTCCCACGATGTGTCCCCTGCAGCGTCCCCGGCCATCTCCTCCGGCCGATGCCGGCATCCGGCTTCTGTGTTCCGGTCCCCCAATGACGTCGGTTTTACCGGCGTCGCCGGCTAGTTTGGGCGGGAAATTTAAAAAATTAAAAAAATGTCATTTTTTTTTTTTTTCAATTTTATAATAGTAAAACATTGCTGTTTCATCCCATTTCACATACATATTTGTCCCTAGTGCTTTGTCCTGTGCCCTTCCTGCATTTTGTCTGTTCTTTCTGCCTGGAAACTTAGAAAAGTCCATGGCGTCCAAAAAGCGTCCCTTTACGTCAAAAGCGGTTTTAGACCGGCTTTCTAGAGAACAGCGATAGTAAATCAGAACCATTTTTTTTACAGAATTGAGTGATAATGATTTGTGGGGAAATTTTCCTAAAAAATTACAGCCTACAATAATACCACCAAAAAAACTATTTCCATGCGAAAAAATGGTACCGCTTTCAGCACAAAAAATCAGAAGGAATCATACCGCCAAGGAGGTTAAGGGGGGTAAATCCTCAGGAGGGCAAGTAGTTATTATCTCAATACAGGTTAAACTTTTATATTTAGTAGTAATTTAGCGGGAATTTTGTAAAATTTGCTGTCTTTGTATCTGCTAATCATGATTTTAGTGTAAACATTTGATAAACATTTTTGCAAATATTGGGCCCTAAAAATCAGCACCTCGTTTTTATTCTATTGGTCATGTGCTCTCAGAAAATATATGGTGTAAGTGAAAGCAGTAAGTGAAAAATAAAAAAGCTATGGAAAAATGTCAAAAATGGTTTGGCCACCTGAGTTTAAAACTGGAGTAGCTATATTTTTCCTCTTCAATCACGATAATTGTCTTTGAACAAGATTCCTCTACAAGATGCTTGAGTTGGTCTCTACATGCATCTGTCGGGATAGGCATATTCTCAGCAATAGCTTTGCAGACTGTATCCAGATCCGCTGGACTAGGTGACTGTGTGGCTAGCTTAGAATGTACCCATTGGCAGGTGGGCCGAGGAGGAGAGGTCGGAGAGCAGGGGAGGTGAGTGGCCCGTGAAGAGAGGCAGGAGCCGGGTCAGCCGGAAGATGAGGAGACGCGGCGAGACCATGTGACTAGCCGCGGAGGATCTCTGGGAGGAGGTGAGACCGGCCGGCATCCCGAGCAGAGAGGGAAGTGTCGGTTCACTCCTAGCCTCGCTCCCCGGCGTGCAGACTAGCCCTGGACCCTGGAAAATCAGGAGAAGCAGCCTGTTGCCTTGTGATGACCCTTAAGTGACCGAAAAGCCAAAGGAGACCCGGAGGAATCCCCCTAGGACTGAGAAAAGCCCTCTACCCGACGACCAGAGCCTCTTACAAGCAAAGAGAGGGGTGAGTGAGAGCGGTTGGGGCTTTTTTTACATACTGGAATATTGTGTGTGTACTACAATCTCCTGTGGCAGAGGGGAGGAAAAAGGTGAAAGAGAGGAGGGGGGACTCCCAAGGGTCAAGAAGAGGTGGAGAAGAGAGAAGAGGAATATGGAGACACAGAAAAGTAAAGTAAAGGGAAAAATAGCAAGGCAAGGCTGGGTTAACAAGCCCTAGACATATGACATACATCTGTATAAGGGGTCATAGAAAAAAACAAGACCATAGAGGACATGAAGAATAAAGGAATTAAAGGAGCAGGGCTCAAAGGGTCCCAAACGGGAACGATCAAGAAATATACTACTCAAGGAAATAGTACTCCAGAAAGGCCCCAAGATGCTAGTGAAAAAGGTGAAATGGAAGTCAGTTTGGGAAGTAACCCTAGATTATCACTGGAAATGAATAGCAGCTGTAGTCAACAACGGT